GAAAGAAGTTGCTATTGCAGAATTAGATGCATTAGAAGAAATAGATTGTAATCCAGACAAAAATGATTCTTGGTTGAATGATTTAGCACCTGAAGTAGTAAAAAAAGAATATGTAAATGATTTTGTTGAGAGACATAGCGGTACTATTTTAGAGAGCAAAACTTCATGTATTTCATATCGGTTTTTGATGATTTTAATATTGCTCTTGTGAATTGCAAAGTGTTCCAAATATCAATTTTGCTATTTGTGATGAAATGTTAAATTCTAAGAAGTCTTGTTTTATACTATATTTCAGTTTGACGGAACATTTAAGAACACTTAACCAGAATATTTGAGAATAAAATATATATCAAAACTTTCTCAGTTCCTGTACTTCTCTTGGGCTGCTACAACTATTACAGAGCGATTTAGGGCCATCACAACTACTTGAAACTGCAGTGTAGTTCCTGACAGGATTAATAAAATCCAGTTGTTTTTCGTACAAAAGTCATGTTTTCAAGCAAAGTAAAAATTGTTTGATGCATACTTCACATCAAGCATGTATCATCAAATTCAGAAGATATTAGTGATTTCAGAAATCAAAAACATTTGAGAACCAACTAGTTTTACAGCAAAAAATGTTAAAAATATTTCATAATGGACCTTGGATTTGAAATCACATTAGCGAAAACAATTGACAATAACATAAATGGCAGTATTTTTATTGTCTAAAAACATCTAAAATTTTACAAAAGTAATTCCTACACAACTTCTGGCAACAAAATATGTAATGATTACTAACAATTGAAAACATGAAAATCATATTTAAAAAATAGTCTTACTTGATTCTGGACATTTTAAGTCAACCAAACTTACAAAATTTGGAGGTTGGGTATGATATATATGCAGATGTGCATGAAGGATGGAATTTCACATCATCCATGTTATGGTGAAATAATTGCCCTTTTTTATAAGCTCGACTATTCGAAGAATATAGAGAGCTAATGTAGTCGCCCCGGCGTTGGCATCTACGTTGGTTACAGTCAAATATTTCAAGATATTCAATTGAACATAACAATACTAATTTATAGAAACAATGAACTTCAGATTGATAAGTTGGATAACTCTGCCTACGATATTTACAAAATTATGCCCCTTTTTAACTTAGAAATTTTGGTAAAAGTTTTTTGTAAAGTCAAATATCTTAATTATTGCTTGAGATATTCAATTGAAATTTACATTACTTTTTTATAGTAACAATGTACATCAGTTTGCAAAGTTGCATAACTCTGCCTGCAATATTTGCAGAATTATTTGCCCCTTTGAAACTTAGAACTTTTGGTTAAAGGAAAGGTCTTCAAAGATATTTACTTGAAACTTTACACATGTACTTAGGGTCATAATTGATGGTCACATCTCAAGATTCATACTCTGCCATGTATTTTGACTGAATTATGCTGCCTTTTGTTCTAAAAAAATCTCCTTTTCTTCGTTAAGTTGTTGTAAGGATGTGTCTTCAGGACACAAAATAAATGTTGTAAGGTTGAATGAAGTCTTCAGGACACAAAATAATTCCTGCAAAGTAGAACAACAGCCATTTCAACTGTCTTTTCTATGCAGTATTCAGAACAAAAATGTTTTAAGGATGAAGTCTTCAGGACACAAAATTAATGTTGTAAGAATGAAGTCTTCAGGACAAATGCTGTTGGAATGGAGTGTCCAGGAGGGGAAATAAGAGTGACAAAAATTCCTGCAAAGTAGAACAGCCATTTTTTAACTGTGTTTCTCATGCAAAGTATTTAGAACACAAAATAAATGTTTTAAGGATGAAGTCTTCAGGACAAATGATGTTGGAATGGAGTGTCCAGGAGGGCAAATAAGAGTGACAAAAATTCCTGCAAAGTAGAACAGCCATTTTAACTGTGTTTCTCATGCAAAGTATTTAGAACACAAAATAAATGTTTTAAGGATAAAGTCTTCAGGACACAAAATAAATGTTGTAAGGATGAAGTCTTCAAGACAAATGCTGTTGGAATGGAGTGTCCAGGAGGGGAAATAAGAGTGACAAAAATTCCTGCAAAGTAGAACAGCCATTTTAACTGTGTTTTTCATGCAGTATTCAAGACACAAAATAAATGTTTTAAGGATAAAGTCTTCAGGACACAACATAAATGTTGTAAGGATGAAGTCTTCAGGACAAATGCTTTTGGAATGGAGTGTCCAGGAGGGAAAATAAGAGTGACGAAATTCCTGCAAAGTAGAACAACAACCACTTTAACTGTGTTTTTCGTGCAGTTTTCAGAACACAAAATAAATGTTTTAAGGATGAAGTCTTCAGGACACAAAATTTATGTTGTAAGGATGAAGTGTTCAGAACACAAAATAAATGTTTTAAGGATGAAGTATTCAGGACACAACATAAATGTTGTAAGGGTGAAGTCTTCAGGACACAAAATTTATGTTGTAAGGATGAAGTGTTCAGGACACAAAATAAATGTTGTAAGGATGAAGTATTCAGGACAAATGCTGTTTGAATGGAGTGTCCAGGAGGGGAAATAAAAGTGACAAAAATTCCCTCAAAGTAGAATAAGATCCATTTCAACTGTATTTTTCATGCAGTATTGCGATATATTTTTCATATTTCCTATGTAGCTTGATTAAACAATTATTGACAACATTCAAGTATGAAAAATGTCTTAAACTGCTCAATTGGCAGGTCTGTCCAAAGTGACTCCAAACTCCACCAAAAGGTTAGAGGAACAACTAAGTTATGTGCATCTGTACCTATTAAACATGTAAGACAACAAATTTTTTGTTTGATACAGTTTGAACTGCAATGGGGGTATCCTACTTACTCCCATGTCAGATATAGTTACAATTGGTCCATATATATCTCAAAGGCCACTACATTTTTAATTTAAAACAAGATTCATTGATATACTGGCCTGAACTGGTTCAATCAATCAATATAAGACTGCAGCATTTTATATTTCATTGCTATTATGAATATTCTTTAAGGTTTCAATGTTTAATATTTGTTACTTAAGATCATTAGAGTTTAAGTTTTAAATCTTCTGCCCACTGTATTTCTTGACAATCTGAGTCCCATGGCAAAGACTTTAGCAAATATATATTGTTCTGGTAACACAGATAGCATGAGATCACAATACCTCACCAAATGTAAATCTATATTTTCAGGTGAGTAAATAATTGCAAACAATAAATTAGGTATAAAATATGTTTAACTTAACTAAGGTCTTATAGTAAAGGTACTTTTACTACTACAATGGACAAAGTTTCCTACTAACACAGACAGCATATGATCACAATTCCTCAACATAATTATGTAAATTCATGTTTTCAGGCAAGTTAATAATTACAAAAAAATAAACAAAGTATAAAATATGATTAACTTAACTAAGCTCTTAATTAAAGCAGCATGCCTCAAGATTTATGCAAATTTTCATGAAAATTTTGAAAATATATTTAAAAGTAGAATATTGTAAATTGAACAAAAAAGAAGTGTAATTTACACATTGCAAACAGCAATCCATGTAAATTACCAAAAAGAAGTCAAAATATGCAAAAATAGTCATTACTGAGTTAGTCATGTAGTAGAAATATGGTGATAGATACTGCAAAATCAGACATTTAGTGCACATAAAATGTAAACTATTACTTGAATCAATCTTGTATATTTTTGCTTTTCTTAAAATCTTGATACATTTTTCTCAAGTTTCTTTTCTTGATATATTTTGGCTCATCTGGAGGCATGCAGCTTTAACATCACTACATAATGAACACTTTAAATTAGCTGAAAGTTGAAAATAAAAGATTATCTGATTTTACCTTGTGCATTTCTTTTCTCAATAAACTGGGGGTTCCAAGCTAAAGAACAAATATATTCGGTACAAATGTTCCAGTATTACAGACTGAGAGCTGACCAAATGTAAGTTTATGATAACAGGTGAACAAATAAGTGAAAAAAGTTAGGCAAGAAATACCTGTAATTAAATTTTAACCTTAAGTCTTTATAATAATGTTCCAGTAACACAGATGGCAAGTAATCACAAAAGTACACTATGTGCAAACTCACATTTACATGTGAGCAAATAATTGAAAACATTAAGCAAGACATAAAATATAAAACTGTTTTGTTTTGTTTTTAAACTAAGGTTTTATTCTAAAGGTCACTTAAAATAATGAACACATCTTAAAACTGGCTATAATTTGGAAAAATAATAAGTTTTGTAAAAAAATGTTTTAAATACAAAGAAAAGCACCGGGAAATGGACACATTGTATACATAATGAACTAAATGAATCAAAACTTTCAACCTGTCAGGGCTTTTTACACAAGTAGAGGATTTTAATTTGGACAATATAACAGTACTTTTGCAAACAGGAAAAGAAAAATTTCAATGTAAATGCATTATGTAAAAAAAAAATTTACTTGGGGCATGATGCCCGTAAACGGTCCATGCTACAGAAGGGAAAAAAAGCCCTGCCTCCAAAAAGCATACACTAAAAGTGCAAAATAAAACATCTAATATTTTTAGAGAGAAACTGTTATACATACTCTTATACATTTCAAAATGCAGTATTTTCCAAGGTTCAGCACCCTTTATTTTTGTAAGTATGTAATACACTCTTTTTGACCAAAGAATATCACAATATAAAAAGTGATTCACATCTTTAGTCAAAACAATGCAAAAAGTAAAACATTGTAAAGTACATATAAGTTACTCTTTCTTGGCAGTGTATGTTGGTGTGTAAATTACCCTTTATAAAGAACTACTTTTATAACCATTTACTATTAACATATCAACAGCAAATAATGCCCTTATTTGAACAAATAATTAACTTTTCCTAATTCTTAAAGTAGCATGCCTCCTGATGAGTTAACTAAACCTCCAAAATAAATCACAATTATAATATATATATTATAACAAATGTATAATATTCACACATTGAAAATTTGAATTTAATATTCAAAACTAAGATAGAATGTACAATTTTTATCACCTCTACAACTTTACTTGCTGAGCAAGTGAAATTTCAGCCTTTACTTTTGGACAGGTTATAATTTTAGCAGATAGTATTTTAAACTAAATTAACCAAATTTGTACAGTTAACAAGATTTCTTACACAAATCTGGAGGCATGCTGCTTTAAGGAATTAAAACAAAATCAGGATTAATTGAACCCAATCCTGTTTTTGTTTTCTTATTGAACACTAGGAATGTATAAACTATTGTGAAATTATCCTACCTAATATATAATAACAGTTCAACACATGCCTATCTCTATATAATATCACTTACCCAGCCTCATCTAATAGATCATAGTTCTAATGTGTGTACCTTTACTTGAGTGAAGTTAACTTATCTTGTTATCTTGATCAACAGCTCTTTAAAACACTCTGTTGCACATTTTTCACTAGGAATATGTCTTTTGTTAAATAGTATTCAGTTCTGACACAGATATTGTCACTACCTGTCACTTGTCTTGCACTTTAAAAATGTCCAAAGTCGTTACAATTAACAATGGCCTAACTTGACTGTAGTCTCCATACACGTGTAACAATGGTCAATGTCCACAACACAAAATGTACGATATTCAACATATCACAGCACCAATGACATTTCACATATCACAAGATTTTGCTTAACTGGAAAATTTATTCCAGACAGATTGTTTCAATATATCATTTCAAAACAAACTGTCAGATCAAGCTGGGGGACGGGGGGCATACATTTTAGCCAATAAAAATCACTCAATTCTACTTAACATACTGTGTACCAATACTTATTTCAATTCTCTAAAGAATTCTGGTATTGTTGAACCCAGTAAAGATACAGTCTCTGCTTCCACTTCCTCCAGTATTTCTCACATATCTTCTGGGACATCATATGAACTGTAGCTGGCTCACCTGTACCATAGGCAAACACCAGAGCACCATTTGTCACGTTGGGTATCTGTAAACATGTAATACAACAAGTGTACGAGGGGTGATCCAAAAATTCGCGGACAATGTGTGTATCTCCATAACGTGACGTCCTACCGAGGTGAACTCTTTATATATTATTAATCAATGCTTTTTTAATAAATTGACTAAATTTTAAAACACCAGATGCATTTTTTATCTATATATGACAACATAAAAACATTAAGTATCAAAATCGCGGCGCAGCTTACTTTTTCTCTTTGATGTAAACGTTTTCATCTCATTTAAACACATGTAAAACCTGTGTAAACAAAGAAAATTGGGGGAAACGTTATAATAACGTTGTTTTGATATGTATGACGTCATTCTGTCAGTATTAGAAGACATTTTGAAGTTGCGGTCATTTTACGCTCGTGCTTTAAAGAACAGGTGCTAAAAACAGCTTTATCAAAAATGGACGTCACGGATCCAGCAAAACTTCGGACAGTTATACAGTTCTGTGTAAATCTTGGAAAGACGCCTGACGAGACAAAAACAATGATCGAAAGTGTGACAAATAAACCGTCAGTGTGTCGTTCTCTAGTTCTCAGCTTGGAGCAGAAGAACTCAGTCATTCACCATATTCGACTGACCTTTCCCCGTGTGACCTCGTCTTGTTTCCAAGGTTAAAGGAAGAGTTGAGAGGGAAACGTTTTGACAATCTGGACGAGTTGAGAGGAGACACCCAATGCATACTGTCATTATTCAGCCAGGAATGCCAGTACATTTAGAGAGTGGTCCGCCGCCATGAAAAATGTGTGCGGGTTAAAGGGGAATACCTTGAAAAGTTATAAGGCAAAACGGTAACATAGATTACTTCCTATGATAGCATAACGTCGTTTGTGACGTCATGAGCTGCGCCGCGTTTTGTCATGTCTATGTATATAAACTGGTGCAGAATCGTAAATTCTGGTACAATCTTTACAATATTTTGAGAATTTGTCGACATATGCTCACTTAATAAGATACTAGAATTTCATGTGATTTGCTTTAATACTTTTTGTTTTATGCAGCGTGTCCACGAATTTTTGGATCACCCCTCGTATACTTTTCTACTTACTGTATAAAGTCCTTACTATACTAAATATCTTAAATGGACTTGTCCATCTTTCAATCTCGACAGTAACATTAATCATATTTCGGGAAAATTTCAAAATATGCACCGAATTAGGGAACAGTGTAGAACATGGACTGAACTTGTCACACAAGTAGATTCTGTTGCCACCAACAGGCTTAACAATATATGGGGTGCTATATAAAACTAATATCTATTACTAATGCATTACATAAAGTAACAGTATTTGTTACAAACCTTCCATTATAGACCATTTCACTTTAAGTTAAATAAATTATATTATATATGATACTACATATATTTTAACATGTTTGATTTTTTTCAGCCTCAACAATACTGCTAAATACAGAGATAGATATTCTAGCAGATTTAACCAAAAGACAGTTCCTGATTATAACAATATTTATCTCCCTTGCCAGAAGAAGCAGCCATTTTGGTCTAATTAACATGCTGTAAATTGTCTGATTCATGTGTAGCAAAATATTATCATAGCACCAAAATATAAACATTTTTATCATTTTTCATGAAGATGATAAAATTTAGAGTTATCATTGATTCAGTGCAAAGCATATCAACAACATATTGATATTGGATGAAAATATCAAAGATACACTGGTATATTGTTAATTACTTGTCTGTCATTCACTTTTATACCTGTTTAAATGGTATCAGTGAAAAACATGTGCTGTTCAGTGTCTTGTTTAAAATGAAATATTTCCACTTTGTTACAACAGCATAGTATTTGACATGGACACCTACTTCTCTAGATGTTTTGGGTGAATTTTCATAATTCATAGACTACATTAATTAGTCAAAATTATCTTTTTTTTTAAAATGTGTATTGATTATTGACCGACAGAAAAATAACAAAGATACATCGATATTGCTTCTAACCGATGATAGCTGTAATAGAGTTATGAAAGAGATTTATGTTATCTCAAGCATATGATATATTTGCATTGATTCCCAAAATGGCGGCCAAGGGAGATAATAATTGTGCTCTGTGATAAGCAATTGGTTAGCTGTGGAGAGAACCAACAACCTTCCTCAATATTTTTTATATTTATGGATTTATTATATCAATGTAAACCATTTCCTTCGGAGTTACATACATCTAACTGCTTGAGAATTCCACTTCTGTTCACAGCACCCATATATGCAGCAACTTGTAGAGGGTTATCATATGTAGCACTCAATAATGGCTTGAGGGTGCTTGAGGTCTTCCATTCAATCAAACATAACGTGTCCCTGAAATTATCATTAAAACTCTGTTACATATGTGACAAATACTTTTTCACCTACAAACATGCATGGAGTTCTGACATATACATCTTGTAATGCTATAAAAAAACATATTTCAAGTCAGTTCTATCTAGATATCTATATATCTGCAGATACAGTTTCAATTTTGCATTATTAATAATTTATCCATGCATTATTTAAGGCTGAAGTGGGCACTTGAATAGAACCATCAACATGTAGTCCCTTAGCTACAAGGCAAATAATTACCTACATATTAGCTTAACGCTTTTTAATACTCATAAATAAATAAATAAATAAATAAAATAAAACTTAGAGGAGCTCAGAAAACATTAAAGATAGAAATTTATAAACATCATTAATTTAACATTAATTTATAGAATATTAATTGAATTGTAAGATTTGCGAGATGGTATTCCTTGTGCTGGCATAAATTTGTTAGGGTCAAAAAGTTATATAAAAGCTGTGTTATTATTTACCTAAATTCAGCAATACAGTCAAATTTTCCTCTATAGAACACTTCTGGGTGAACACAATCACTCTCCAGGCTTTTCACATTCTTAACATCTCCCAACACTGTTTTAACACTTTCCCAGTGACCTTCATGTGAGCCCTTGACCTTGACATCTTCCTCACCTTTCAAGGTCATCTCTATACACTTGTGGAGATTGAGTCCATCATTTATTATACCTGTTGAACAAAAATACATTTGACACTTAGTCTGTTCTCTAAAATTTTATAAACATTCAGAGTGTATACATGAGTTTTAAAATTAAGTTTCCCCTTTTCAAAAGGAAAATTACCTATCCAAAATCTTGATGCCATTTTACACTTAAATCAATAAATTGTAAAAATGAAGATTTCATTTTGTTTTGTTCTGTTTTATGGCACACCAACACAATTTAGGTCATATGGTGACGAAATAGGAAGGATGATTCAGGCTAACCTCTGATGTTACAAACTTAAAGCAACACCAGGGGTCAAAACCACCTCACCTGCTCAAGCTAATAAGACATAACTGACAGAAATCAACAGAGTTGAAAATTATGAACTTAAATTGGACTGAAATACTAACTAAGGTAACAAATACATAAGGCAAGGTCCTCAAATATCTCATAAACAGGTGCATATTGTTTGAACATGTTCATACTACAAGACCAAAATAGACCAGGCCTCAACATTAGCAGTGGTCCGTTGGTCCGAGACCACTTGATTTTGGCAAGGACCACCTAATTTTAAAACCCACTGGTCCGTCGGACCACTAATTTTTCTGGTTGATGCAAAGCTCATTTGGAAGAATGGCGATTTGGTCAAAAACATGTTATATAATTTTGTTTAAAATCATGTGTCTGATGTACATGTATATGATTCATTCATCTCTGATTAGTTAAAGAAGTTCTTATAAGTCATCAATAACTTTCATTTGAAGTCGCTAAAATTTTGTTTATGCAAATTAAATATTAAGGATTTGTGATATAAATTTAGGTACAAAATTCATTCAAATGGTGTTTGTAATTATGCATCGTCGACTACCCACGGGGGAACCATTAACATCTATGTTATGTTACATGTTAATCAACCGTGAGTATCTGATGATGGTAATTATATAATATCGGATAATACTTGAATACCGGCAGCAAACGAAAGGAACTGGAAAAAATACATCTAGTAATTCTTTGCTATTTATCTTTATTTTAACTGTATAACGATAAGAGATCTATTTCTTCTAAAGTTAAAATTAATTTAAAAGGTTAAAAATACTCAATGTCAAAAATGAATATCAACCAACAAGCAACAGGGAGGTAAAAATTCTGTATTATAAATATGTGAGAAAAAGAAGCTAAACTACAGTTATATATAACGTTGTTATTATTTTAACACTTTAGATATTTCCTTGGTTACAAGAATAAGATAATTATTAGTTTCATTAAAAATGTAAATCTATAAAAGATACTTTGTTATTGTCATGATTATAAGACGTACCACAATGAATATTTGAACAACAGTAAGAAAATAACAGACACAAATGGTTTCACTATTCCCTAACTTGAGTTGGGGGAGTAACTTCAATATAAAAGTAAACATAAATAAGAGCCCTGTTGTGGTTGTGTATTTTTGAATGAGATAAAAACAAACAAACAAATAACTCTAGGATAGAATACCTACTGACCTGCTCTCCCTTTTCTGATTAGATGAAAAATATATATCTAAAAATATCTGTTTTCTTTAAAGGTTAATAATACATCTTTGTCATCAAGTTTAAACATTTTTTCTACATTTGCAGTAAAAAGATATAATAATGATAATTGACCACCTATCTTCTGGGAGGACCACCTAACTTTCAAATGTAGTGGTCTGGCGTACATTACAGTGAAGATGCCCTTATTTTCAAAGATTTTAGAATTTGTTATTGAATATTTTAATTTTGTTATTGAATATTTTTTTTTTGTAACTTTCAATTGGGAGTTTTCCGAGTTTTTTCCTGTGGATTGGGAAATTTTTTAAATATACTATTTTCAGTTGGGAATATGACCGGATATCAGTTATGAATAAGCCCAAAAAATCCCTGTAAGACCTCTTTGTTCAGTACCATTGATGGTCTCAAGAGAGGGTTTTTACTGTATTTACCTTGATGATATTTTTCAAATTGCTCTTCGCTGCCAAGCTCTTTTATCTTTGAAGCTTTCCATCTTTTTAGAACAGTTTGTGAGGATTTTGATTCTGTTTGCTTAATTACTGTGCTCACTGATGGTAAATATGTTATATCTAGGCCTTCAACAAACTCTTTAAACTGCGCATGGTTTGAACTGTCAATCTCCTCCTGTGCATAAAATGGTAATTCCATTACTGTACTAAACCAGTCCGGAATATCCAATTCATCTTCTGGCGTTTGTGTAACTTCCTCCTTAATGGCCTTTGGCTTTGATTTCTTAACAACTTTCTGAGATATGGACCTTTTAACACCATCTAATGAACTTTTTTCTCTATTTGATCTTGCAACTTGATTTAAGTCAAAAACTTTTGATGAACATGCCCGAAATCCACTTCCTGACAAATGGCCTAATCTGTGAAGTAACTGACTATACATATCAATGTTTGGGTGAACTTTAACCTCTCTCAAGGTGTAATGCAGTGTGCGTCTCAAACAAGGCATACTGTTCATTGTTCTGAAATAGAAGAAAAGGTTTTCATAAGTTCATAACTCTTGAGCATATGTTCCTTAAGAAAGCAAAAAACAAAGAGGGACATGATGGCCATGGATCGCTCACCTAATACATTGCTAGAAAAGGTCACAATTCTTAAATGCAGACATAAGTAATAACTTCACATTTGATGTGTCATTCCCCAACTGCATAATTTATAAAATATTTGTAGACATTTGTTGTTTTTAATATGTTTCAGTAACCCTATTACTGAGACAGACACTTAAGGTGTGAAGGTTCAAACAGTGCATATTAAGTTTTACATACTGGAATTGATAAATATACAATTTATTTGGATCTTCAGGTGTTTGAAGCTCCACAACCCAAATGTATGTGATTATTGCAGGTATTTTTGCTTGAGAGACAAAATGTGCTGTTTCTCAGACCACAGTCGATTTAGAGCTTCTATTGAATTAATCGCAGTTTGTTAACTGTCTTACTAATGTAAATATTTACAATGTTTTGACATATATGTTCTCAACAAATATCCTGGTTGAGTAGTTTTGAGTCAGAAATAACAGACATATTGCTTGTAGAACATTGATGACAGGAACTTGAAATTGTGGCAGGGTTTGGGGACTAACCATGGTCACAGTAGTTCAACCAGTCAATGAGAAAACTTTCATTGGTAAGCAGTTTGTTTTTGTTGTTTTCTTTACTAACAAATTGAAACCAATAGTTGGCTTCTTTCCCTCAGCAAATTTCCCCTTAAAAATCCGAATTTCCCTAAAAAATAATTTTCCCAGAGTAAAACTACTAAAACAAGAGCTGTAGTTGGAAACAGGCAAATGCCCTCCAAACAGGGCCAAGTAGAGGAACCAAGACCTTGACTTGCATCAAAGGCATGGTTACTATAAAAAGACTGTTTCAATAATATAGAAACATTACCAAATATTGTCTCATATTTTCAGTTAGCCCAATCATTTAAAAAAAATTAATCTGAGAATGTCAGAGTAACAAAATATGACTAGACACAACCATTAATGAAGTATTTTGACATGGTATAACCAACTCTCAACTTGGCTTTTGAATGTGACAAGTTTTCCTCTATTGCCACAGCAGTATGACTAGTCATTTCAAAGTCCATTCATTGATGACAGAACTGATAGCTGAATAAAACCATCAATGTACTTAAATGGAACTATAAAAGTTGAAAGTCCTAACTTGTCCTTGATCTTTAAGCTACAAACTCATCAGAAATTGATTAAAGAACCTTATCTTTAAACCAATTTATTACAAAATCTGTCAATGAATGACAAAAAAGCATGAACTGGACATGACTATCAAAGCACTGTCATATCATGAATTCTGACATTTAAGGATAAACTTGTTTATATATAATCTTAATAAGCAGCACATTTATGCCTAATTATTTCAAAGTTCATCCATGAATGACAAATCTATGCACAAAGAAGACTATCTATTCACAATTGTCAAGTTTGACAGAAAAGTGTGACCTTGACCTTTGAACTGGAAACTTGACCCCTATGTGTGACACATCATCCTGTCTTACACATTTATGCCAAATTATTTCAAAATCCATCCAGAAATAGCAGAATTGTTCACCTGACATAACCATCAATGCACTTTTATGAAAAAATTCATATCATCATGACTTTGGAATACAAGTGTGACCTTGACCTTTGAGGTCAATTTATGCTTGTGATATATTTTCTGTGACTGTCAAAGACATTTTTAAATCAATCCAAGAGTGACAGAACTTTTCATCAGACATGAACATAATATACTTCTACAAAAATTCATATCTACAAGCGTGACCTTGACCTTTAAGGTAGGGACCTGATTCATGCTCACAACACACTGTCATTATGTCCAAAACATTTATGCATAATAATTTTGAAATCCATCCAGGAACAAGAAAATTGTTGACCAATGAGTACTTTCATAAAAAATCGTATTAGTTTGAACAGTTAATTGAAAATGTTATGACTTTTGATCTACAAGTATGACCTTGACCTTTGAAGTAGGAACCTTAAAATTCTTGTGCTCTGCACATTGCCATTATGTCCAACACATTTATGCAAAACAATTTTTAAAATCCATCCAGAAATGACGGACTGTGATTGGACACAAACATTGGTGTACTTTCATAAAAATTCATTAATTTTCATGACTTAATCTACACGTGTGAACTTGACCTTTGAGGTAGGGACCCAATTCTTGCGCTCTGCACCTTGTCATTATGTACAACACATTTATGCAATAATTCTTAAAGCAACATTAAATACATTTTATAAAAATATAATTAGCAAAATTCCGTAAATAAAAGACATTTTTTAGCGTTACTCGTTCCTATTTTGTTGCTCAGATGATTAAAATGTGTTTTATGAGCGTAAATATTTTGGCCTCATTGTGTGCATTAGAAGCTCCACCTCTCAGTCATTCGGATACATTCGAAGATCAAGTCAGAAATCAACATGGCGTCGAGTAGCAGCTCAGTAAGTTTTTCCCATGTTAAACGATATGTTTTGGCATACCATAACAAATCTTTTACAAGTATTTAAACTTATTTTATTTATGTTGTTTCAACGAATGACGCCACTAAATTACGTTTAGTGTGACTTTTATCAGAAATACTTGAATGAGGCCCCTGAAGGGAAAAAAGCGTAAACCGTTTACGTAAATAAAAGTACGTTTATGCAACTGAAATGATAAACTATACTGTATTGTAATTGCTTTTAAAACAAAAGTTTAATGATATAGTTAGTTCTGATTGAAAAGTTGGCAGGCCGAATATTCTCCAAAATTCTTATTAGATCTAATTGAGACTTGTTAAATATGCGAAATTTATGATTTTTTTCTTCTTGTATTTAGATTTGACTTGAAATATTTTCTGCAGTCTCAAATTTAATGATCGTTACAAATCGTTCTGGACCTTTTATTTTTGTTTTTTTTGGCTGTAAACTTAGGTGATACTATATATATTCACTATTGGGACTACGAGCATGGGTGAAAATTGAAAGTTCTGTACGTTACATAGTATAGTACAGAACAAATGTCTTAACATGGCGGGATTCACAAATGCGCAAGTCATTTGTGCATAACGGTCACGTGGTATTAGGCTGTATTTGGCGGTAAAACAGAGCGGGTTTTCATTCTAGGCTTGACTTCTGACCTTTCAAGGCGTAAATTTTATTCAAATTCGAGAACAATTCATTCAGCAATTTTGATAAGTTGTTTTGTATTTAAATGATGACATGTATATAAATACATATAGTCTAGTTTAAGCTGTAATATTTTGTTTTATGATACATAATTGTAATTAAGTACGTGCATCATCGTATGTAAGAAAAGTAGCTTTTTAAACTAAATTTGCATGCTAGGACGTAGTCCGTAGATCCTATATTCGGAGGAATGGACGATTCAAATCGCTCAGCCAGGCGTTCTTTATATCTGGCGGTGCTGGGGTTGGGCGCATGAACTCATGCCTTAATGCCAGCGTTGACAGGTCGAAAGTTCTCCATGTTACGGACATACGTTTTTTTCCTCAAAAAGAGGTTTCGGTTCGTGGACGGCTGCCATTCCGTAGATGAATATCCATCAGATTCTGTGGTTTATGTTGTAAATGTTGTAAAAGTAACCGCAGAGTGATTTGGAGCATGTAACATTAAATATCAAAATTTATTGAAGTATTAAGTTTAATGCAAGTGCATTTATTGAGATATTTAATTCAATATGTATGTATATTCTTAAATGTATAATGTATTCCTCCAGCAATAAACTTGAATAAAGCCTATCGAAGTCTTGCCCACTGCAACATTGTGTTATGTTATTTGTGAGTAGGCATGTTAAGACGATTTTTTGGTCATTGCATGGCCTTAAAAAAAAGAATTGCAATGATCCTGATAAGATTATCGAATGCAAAGATTATATCGAATGCATTCAATGACAGAATGTAACTGTTCACTGTTTTGGGGAAGGATGATATAGCAGGGCAGTTATTGGTATTTTGATGGTCCTGTGTTTGAGTCTAGTTCAGACTGCATTTTTTTTCTCACACACAGGATTTTTCTTTTTTTTTAATATTCAATATTTGCCTGAAAATCCTGCATACTTATACACGTACATTCACATGTAGGATAAACTAGAAATTTGTCCATAGGACACGGATGCCCCCACACGCCACTGTTCTGTCAATCTTATGACTAGGTCAAATATTTTTTGGACTACATGTGCCACAAGTTGAAAACTAAAAATCAACAAAGAGCCATAATTCTGTTGTCAAATATTTTTTGGACTACATGTGCCACAAGTTGAAAACTAAAAATCAACAAAGAGCCATAATTCTCTTAAATTTGGTCGCAGCAAAAATTCCTTCATTTACTACCATCTACACATTAAGGTTGTTAATCCCTGGAAGTTTAAGCAAAATCTGCCATCCGGTTTAAGAGGAGTTGCATTCACAAAATTTCTACATAGTGTATAGTGAAAAAATCAACAAAGGGCCATAATTCTGTTAAATTTGGTCGCAGCGAAAATTCTTTCCTTTACTACCATCTACACATTAAGGTTGTTCATCCCATGAAGTTTAAGCAAAATCTGCCATCTGGTTTAAGAGTTGCGTTCACAAAATTTCTACATAGTATATAGTGAAAAAATCAACAAAGGGCCATAATTCTGTTAAATTTGGTCGCAGCGAAAATTCCTTCCTTTACTGTAGTAAACAGTATTCATCCTAGTTTGAATAAATACACACTGTCAACCAAGAATAACATATTATGTATGTTTACATATACCCTTTACCTCATATAATATATACGCGAAACAACGCACTTTAGACCCCCCCCCCCACTTTTTACACCTCAAATAGTGAAAAAAATGTCCTATTTGGGCCCCAAACACAGATTTTCGTTTGAGAAATGTTGCTTAAAAAAAAGTGAGCACTTTTTCGGCGCCGCCCCCCCCAGCCAAAAGATACATCAGGGGGTTGCCAGAAGGGGGATGTGCCCCCTTCTGTTTGGGGGGTTTGAAGGGGGGCGGTAGTCCCCCTTATCGCCAAGAAAATATTTTTATCATTGTTCTTGCAGGAAATGGAGAGGTTGGTGTTAGACCCCCAAGTGCTGGCTCTTGGTCAGAGTTTTTACTCAGATATGTTAGCCAGGAGGGGCCAGAGGGTGGAAAATACCAACAAAACAATGCGGTATTCAGCCTATAGGAATTTCATCCTCTGGCGGCATGGGTGATTTGGTGCTGGGGTACATAGGGTTGTCCCTAGTTGCGGCGTGCTGTCCATTAGAGCAAGGTACCCAAGTGCAACAGGGACCTACACTGGCTTCGTCCCAGGCAAATTTGTTTGAAATTTTATGTTATAATTTGAAAAAATAAAAACAAGTTTGAAATATAAGTGAAATTTTTATTATATCAAGTTTTTGTTCAGTACTTTATAAACATATTCTAAGACAAATGTTTGTACAATCACTTAATATGAATCATATCAAATGTGTAAGTGATAATCATAAGTAAAGCATAATTTTGACACCAAGTTTGAAAATGAGAAAAAGTTCTTTTATTTAAATAAAACATTTGCAAAAGTGTGTATTTTCAAAGTCCTTCAAAAAACAGACACATTCCTAAGCTAAGTTTGAACTCTATCTGCATTTACTGTTTCATCTGTGTAACAACAATTATTACAAAGAGCTTTATAAAGAAACCATGTTTTGTGTTAAAAACAGAGCAAGGGCACTCGCAGGACGGGGCTAAATATAGCTAACAGTCATCAATTTGACCTTCAAGGTCCTGGCCTAAAAATGTGTCTCAATATGACTTAAATAATCCATTTATAAATAATGAAGTTATATACAGTTACAGAAAACAAACAAGAGAATACCATTAATTTGACATTGAAAGTCAATGACAATTTAAGGTCACATCTAAATATTAAATATGCTTGGAAGCAAGTCTTCTTTTGTCACTAGTTATGACAAAAAGCAAAATTAATAATTTAACATTTACAGTCAATGTCATTTAAAGGTCAAGGTCAGATAAACTTTTGGAGGGTTTATCCAAGGGATTGTTTTATCCCAATTTGAAGATAATTCAAATACTCAGTTACAGTTAAATAATAGCAAGATAAGTGAAAATAAGATAATTTAACCTTCAATGCCAAGGTCATAATGAGCCATGGTCAATTTGAGTTTAATATGTCTATCTTATCCTGAAGAATCTTGATATGAAGTTAATCCATTCATTATAACCAAGTTATATACAGTTACAAGCAAAAACATAAAAATTTCATTAATTTGGCCTTCAAAGTCATTAATGAAGGTTAATGTCTGGTTTTCTTGAACGTCTATCCTGAAAAATTGTTAAGTTCAAATTTGGAGACAAGCCATTCAAAAATAATGTTGAAGCCACTAATAGAAAAACTCAAGCAAAATTTAGACATTTGATCTTGGCAATTATGAATGAAGATCAAGTTTAGTCTGGTTTACTTGAAGATCTTGTCCCAAAGGTTGTTAAGGACATGTATAAAGACAATACACCAAGAACTTAAAAAGTTTTTATCAAAGATAAAGTTTGCGGACAGCAAAAAGTCTAGCGCTTATATATCAGTGGCAAGAAATCAAATTCAACCTTTATTTTATGATGAACCAAATATTATTACAATTCAGCGTCACATTTAAAGAGTTATTATCTGGAAACTGAGTTTCTTTTTGTGAAACAAAATATTGAAAAAAAATGGTCTTAAACAAAGTCTGCATCAGAACTATCTATATACATTTCCATCCTTAAATTAATCAATTTACATGTTTTGAAGTCAGGATAACCTACAAAATATAGCCTCATAACAGATTAAATGTCCTAAAAGACCAATTGACATCATTTTGGATTGCCAATGACTCACAAAATTTCTTCATTGAAAACATTTCATGAAGACCTGAAAAATGCAGCCAAATATAATATCACATACATGGAAATTCCAAAGATATAACAAAGTAACCTTTTTAAAATGGCATATTATCAATTTAACATCCAATACATGAATATATCTGATTGAGTGGCTGTAGGCATGCATAACTGTGCACTGGTAATTATGTACTTGTATAGTAACTTCATTGTTACACTCAGTTGTAGATGTCTATTTCTCATCCCCAAACACTCAGTTGTAGATGTCTATTTCTCATCCCCAAACACTCAGTTGTAGATGTCTATTTCTCATCCCCAAACACTCAGTTGTAGATGTCTATTTCTCATCCCCAAACACTCAGTTGTAGATGTCTATTTCTCATCCCCAAACACTCAGTTGTATATGTCTATTTCTCATCCCCAAACACTCAGTTGTATATGTCTATTTCTCATCCCCAAACACTCAGTTGTATATGTCTATTTCTCATCCCCAAACACTCAGTTGTATATGTCTATTTCTCATCCCCAAACACTCAGTTGTATATGTCTATTTCTCATCCCCAAACACTCAGTTGTAGATGTCTATTTCTCATCCCCAAACACTCAGTTGTATATGTCTATTTCTCATCCCCAAACACTCAGTTGTAGATGTCTATTTCTCATCCCAAAACACTCAGTTGTATATGTCTATTTCTCATCCCCAAATCTGGACTTTTTCTGTTCCATTAAAACACAAGGAGGGGGAAACAATTCTGATAATGTTTGTTTCATTTTTCTTGGATCTGATGGTGACATCTCCTGAGGAGCTGTTAAAGGAATGTCACTTGAAACAAAATGGTCTATGATCTGTCTCAAAAGTTCGGGAATGTATTCATATTTCTTTGGCTGCTTTTGGGGATAACATGTCCAGTTGTTACTCTTTTTGGAAAACATCCTATGAAGTCTGAAAAAAACAAACAAAAACACTTTAACACAGTAGAGGAGTTTGTCTTTATTAGATCTGTTAAACAAAAGTTAAAGTAAATTTAATAATGTCTCTTATTTTTACTGCAATAGCCTTTACAATCATCACAGAAAACACTGATATCAATATCTAATACCGATAACAATTATCACAATTTCTTTTTGGTTCAATAACTTAAATCAGACCATCACTGAAATACTCAAAGCAAACTTTATGCTTGACATTCAATTTATATTTATGGCATACAAGGTCAATGTGATCCATTGACCCAAAAATCAAGTAATTGATCCAAAACAATGTGAGATAAACTGACACTAACATCCTGCTGCTAAACAATGTCAATCTCCTACGCAGTGATCTCCCCTTATCAGTACAGAAATCTCTGCCATCACAAACATTGAAATATCAATATTTTGATATTTTATATTTTTTAGCTTTTTTATTTATTTTTCATTATTTTGTATACTTTTGATAATTTTTTGATAAAATATAACGGACGTAGGTACAAAAAGATAAAAATAAAACAGAAAGAGAAAAATGACATTAGATTTTCTATGTAACGGTCAATATTTACATTTGAATTTCGACGTTACGTCATGTGACTTTCATCATCATGTGACGTCTGTGAAGGCAGTGATTACAATTCTGCCAAGGGAGGTAATCACTGTGAGGAGTTTGAAACAATGTGTCAATTCTTCTACAAAAGGTCACATAACACTGCTTTTACTAATTGTCAGCCAGGCTAAATATTACATAATTATTATTATATCTATATCACATCATTTGATGATAGTCATATGAAAATGAATTATGTTGATTTTCAACAAATATAAACCAAACTGTTCTTCCTACTTGAGCAGAAAAAAATGTATAATACCTAATTTCTCCTTTCTTGTTTCTCAACAATCCTCGATCTTTATGGGCCTGGTAATCAATACAGGCTAAGTAGTTGCGAGCCTTGTAGACCGGATGTCTGAAAATAAGAACCCTACTTGAGAACAATTACATAAGAATACGGCTATTTTAATAAAAGTTATGAAACAAAAATTTAATCCAAAAGCTGATCTGGCAAATGTATGCATTAACTCAATCTAGGCTGAAGGGTTTTAACAGACTAAATCCAAAAATGTCTCTTATTGTAATAATTATTGACAGCAAAATACTGATTATCCTTACATATCAAGATCATCAATTTTTATAAATACCTATACAACAATTATATATTGTATAGAATCAGATTTAAAATATACTGTTAAACATTTATTTACTCTATATTAACAAGTTCACCATATTTTTCTGAACAAATACTTACGTGTAGGCAAATCTCTTAGCACAGTACATGAGAATATGTTCATGGAATGATTCTAAATCCTCAGTGTGACTGAAAAAGAAGTTATCATGAACAGATTAGGTTCTAAAATCACCATATAAAATCTGAAAACATGTTTGTTACAGAGAAAAAAGTATAAAATGTCAATGAACTCACATGAAAATATTGGAATGGGCTAATAAATTAATATGTTTGTATATATATTCTGCTCTTCATGTACAATGATGGAAATTTAGTATCTATTTTAACTGTACTTCAATCTTATTCTGTTGGGCAGGTACATATCAATTGTCACTTGATTTAGAATGAATATCATAGAGTTTTCTTTTTCAAATAACTGTACTTATAAACATGGAACATTTGGCAAAGTAAGTAACACATGAGGAAGAATGGTTTTGCTGTTGTAAACCAAATTGTCATGTCATGTATACTTCAATAAGAGATATCAGTAATGAGATTGAGGTCTGTTAACCTACTTCTGAGTCAGTATTACTGAAAAAGGCAAGACTTTACCATATCAAAGTAATGCAGAATTCAAAATATTTACTTATAATCAGAAAAGCACTTAATGGTTAGCATGATTCAAAGATATGTCAATACATGTGCCCTAAATTCTAATAATTTAGTTCAATACATTTAGATTGTATTTACCGGAAATTCTTATAGAATCTCAAGTTGTGCAAAAATCTTGTATCTAAAACAAGCTTTGTAAGAGCTAAATGCGAAGACTCTCCAGGTTCAAGCCATTTGCTGTCTTCCGCCTCTTGCAATGTTCCGTGATCACACTCACCAAGTGCCCACTTATGATCATTGACCACATGATGGAGAACACCTCGCCATTTACCCTAAATAAAATTTGTACAATGTTGTTTGTAAGGTACAAGGAACAAGATTGAACTCCATTTAGCCACTACTTTACTAATCTAAGTAAATTTCTGATTTCCCTAAAACATTTCTTGCATTTGTTAATAAGGAGCTAATTTTAATCAGTTTGCTACTTCACATACTAAATCACAAATGCCTATATTTACCCTTTCGCTGCCAAAGGGTTACTTATTTATTGATCACCTATTTGCCAGAAGGTTTTATATTATAAATTGATATAATTATTATTATTTGTTATTAGTATTATAGTAATTATATATGTTTCCAAATCTGCTTGTATAATAATAATTATTGTCGATGGTATAATTATCTATATATTTATTATTATTATTATTATTATAATTATTATTATAGAAACGGCAAAAGCCGTCCATATGGCAGTGAAAGGGTTAAGCAAACCAATTTTTAATCATTTCGTTTTTGCAAAAAATAACACATGGAAAAATTAAAATTTCACCTGTTTGAAACAATCTTCAATATAAATAAATAAACCCCTTATTGATTGTTGTTAACAATTAAAACCTACCAAAAGTTTATGCTCATCTCCTCCAGCCTCTCGACAACAATACCAGAAGTGATTAATGACATGGGGTAACCATGGTCTCAGTTCCTTGTTCTTACTTTCCGCTCCAACCTAAAATTAGTCAGCAATTCTTGTATACATGTGTCACCTTTTCAAACTAAGCTGATGAAAACTTTTGATTTCTTGTATACATCAACTGGAAGTTTCTAACCATAGGCTTATAGTTAATATTATAATACAGTAAAAACTCTGAAAACCGGACCCTCTGAATACCGGAATCCTCTGAAAACCGGACAATTTCAAAAGTCCCATATTTAATCCTTATAAGTTCATTGAAAAAAATCCTCTGAATACCGGAACCTCTGAATTCCGAAAACCGGACGATTTTCTATGGCTACTAATGATAATCATACTTAAAAAATCCTCTGAAAACCGGACAGCAATTTCAAGTGTCAACTTTCTGTGTATTTTAATGTAGATTTAAACATAATCTCAACAGGTGACATGTTCAATTATCACCTCTCGTTACCTATGAAGGTGTGAAAACACTTCTCAGTGTGTTAATTTCTTATTGGCAATTAAATTATAGCTCTTTCATCATAAGTCTTTCCCTGTATAGGTATGATTTTTGAAAATGTTTTTAATTTTTTTTTTATATTAAATGTCTAAAAGAATTAGGAAACTTTTGTTAAATGATTCCTGTTTTGCTTAAAAATTTGATATTGAATTTATCTTTGTTTGGAAATTAATCATATGCAAAAATAGTAATACTAAATTCCATTAATTACATATTCCAAAGCCAATGAAAAAGATATGATATATTTTAGACAATATGTTGTTTTTATATCTGATTTTCTGAATTGTATTATTGGATTTGCATAATTAAATTACTCAAGATATTTCTTGCAAAAAGAAATTAAAGTATGACTGAGACAAAAGGTTTGAAAAGTAAATACAAAGTGATTTAACAAAGTCATTGTTCAAACACATCATAATTATCAATAAATGTATAAACCTCTGAAAACCGGAATCCTCTGAAAACCGGACTTTTGGTCAATTCCGGACAGGGTCCGGTTTTCAGAGTTTTTACTGTACTGCACTTTGTCGCTTTTCATTGGATAATCATTGACGTTTATATAGTTTAAAGGGACTCCACTGAGGTTTTTTGACATGACGGGGCTGGAAATATTTTTTTGAGATTATTACTCCATCTGATGTAGGTCTATACCAACAATTAATGCGCAAAATTTCAGATCATTAGCTCGCTTCGTTTGTCCAGAATTGTTGTTTTAATTGTCAACAAGGGTGCCATAGTCACAAACTACGCCCCTTTACGAAAGCTTTAGATGGAGATGGGGGCATTATGGATAAGTGTTATCTAGCAAGCAAATTTTTATTCTTGGCACTGTGTTGTTAAATGAACCTTAAAACAAATCAGTAGAAAAGAAATGCACAGGATGTGTGACCTTGACCTTGGTCGCAGGGACCTAACCTAAATTAAATGTGTCACATCCGTAGTCATGATAGTTACCATTTGTGCTATAATCCATCAATAAATGATGACTAAATGGTCCCTATACACATCTTCAAATTTTACTGAACTTTGACCTCTATGTGTAACCTTGACTTTGGTCGCAGGGATCTGAATTTTGCGTGCGACACTCAGCCTCACAATGGTGAACATTTGTGCCAAGTTATATTGAAATCCCCCTATGAATGTAGAAGTTTTGCTCCGCACAAGCGTTTTTCAATGAGCTCTAAGTGTGACCTTGACCTTTGACCTGGAGACCTGGATCATGCATGGAGCAATACATATCATGGTGGTGAACATTTCCATAAAGTATTATAAAAATTCTTCAATACATGTAGGAGATATGCTCCAGACAAAATCTGGATATTTCACCATCTTTAGTGACCTTGACCTTGCATATATTGACCTAAAGTACATGTGTCACAGCCGTAGTCATGATAATGACCATTTGTGTTACAATCCCTCAATAAATGATGATTAAATCGTCCCTATACACATCTTCATATTTTTATCTAAACTTTGACCTCTATGTGTGACCTTGACCTTGGCTGCAGGGACCTGAATTTTGTGCGCGACACTCCGCCTCACAATGGTGAACATTTGTGCAAAGTTATATTGAAATCCCTCTATGCATGTGGAAGTTTTGCTCCGAACAAGCGTTTTTCAATGAGCTCTAAGTGTGACCTTGACCTTTTACCTAGAGACCTAGTTCATGTGCGTGACATGGCTTCTTATAATGGTGAACATTTCTATGAAATTTCATTAAAATCCCTCCATGCGTGTAGGAGATATGCTCCGGACAAAATCTGGATATTTCATCATCTTTAGTGCCCTTGACCTTGTATATATTGACCTAAATTATATGTATCACAGCCAGTCTTGATAATGACCACTTGTGTTACAATCCCTCAATAAATGATGACTAAATGGTCCATATACACATCTTCATATTTTTATCTGAACTTTGACCTCCATGTGTGACCTTGACCTTGGCCGCAAGGACCTGAATCTTGCGCGCGACACTCCGCCTCACAATGGTGAACATTTGAGCCAAGTAATATTGAAATCCCTCTATACATGTGGAAGTTTTGCTCTGGACAAGCATTTTTCAATGAGCTCTAAGTGTGACCTTGACCTTTGACCTAGAGACCTGGTTCATGTGCGCGACACTGCACCTCATAGTGGTGAACATTTCTATGAAGTTTCATTAAGATCCCTCCATACAAGAAGGAGATATGCTCCGGACAAAATTGGACGCCGCCCGCCTGCCCGGGGCGTTCCCATAATACATCCCGTTTTTCAAACGGGCGTATAAAAATGACCTAAAATTGAAAAGCGCTTAAACCCTTTTCACTCAAATCGGACTGAGAATAACACAAACATAGATTTTCAGTGTATCTCTAGGTATATTTTTTAATTATCTTTTATTTATATTATAATTTAGGTGCACCAGTTGATCTTTGTGAGAAATTAAAATTTTATGGTTTTAGGCTTATAAACCTCAGTGGAGTTCCTTTAATATACACGGCTGCTGTTGATTTATAAAGAAATATCACTTTATTCCTCTACAAATGATGCTTGCTGTATTATTAATTTGATATAAATATTCCTGACAGGTTATATGGCCGTTTACAAATGTTTGTTTGCAATATAACCCTCGCTTAGCAGATTGGGTTATATTTACAAACACCGATTACATGGGGCCATATAACCAGTCAAAAATCTTTATAACTAATAACATGTGACCATTATATCAGGTTAGCAATATTCTATAAAATAGAGGCAGCAAAACAATCTGAAAATACATATTATCACTTCAAGAGATTTCTTAAATTGAACCTTTTGTACAAATAATTTGTAACAAAGACCTAAGTTATAATATTTAGAAACATTGGTTCTGATATTTGGCATTAATTTTTTTAACTATAACCTTTATTTGCATTTTACAATAGTAACATAGAAAAATTGTTTCATCATGATAAGTATTCGAGCATGTAAAAAATGAAAATTTTAAAACCATTAAATAAACATCAATAGCAATCTCTTACTGCTCCTAGTCTTTTGCCAAAGTTCTTTGCTCCGTCCCATACGTCAAATGAGTGCTCTATATCTGGATATTCTTTTCCTGCAATGGGAATCACACAAATGTATGACTACTGTATAACATTTAGTCTTATGCATATTTACAAAGTGTACAAAATACACTGAGAAAAAAAAATTGAAACAATTTACCCCCCCCCCCCCCAAAAAAAAAACAGCCAATAAATATCATTGACATTTGGCAGCAAAGCATTTAAAAATCATTATCAGAGAATTAAGTTAAATAAATTCTCACCAATCATTGAGGCAATAGATGTGCTTGCATCAGTACAGAGCTCTTGTATGGTTATTCCACTATCAGACAATTTCTTTAAACAACGCTTCAGTCCTTCTTTTACCATAGCGGTTGACTTCATGTCTGTTTCTCTTTTATTCACTATCTCACAGGCAAGTATGTCCTTGTTCTCATATTCCATTATGGTGTATGTACAATACTGGGCTGAATGTCCTGGTGAGTCCATACGTCCATCACCTACAATTGTAACAAAATAGAAATTTATAGAAGACTTTTGTTTTTCAATAAGCTAAAGGCAAATGTCTGATGAATAGGGTTACTGCTATGTTAATTGTTTACATACAGATTCAGAATGTTGTAATACAATATTGCTTTCATAAAATGGTTCCAACATATATTGTATTTGCAAATCTTATTTACTGTAATGACACAAGGACTGAATTTACTACTATTTAAGAAACATATTTAGCAACAGTAAGAATGTATCACCTGCAATAACTATGTTCTTCCCAATATACTTTTCTATATTGGCCTTCATGACTCTCTCAAATTCCTCCTTAATGACCGGAATAGCATGTTTAGATTGGATCTGATAGTGCGTTGGAGAAGCAGTTATTCCTAATCTCAGGAAACTATGCATCAAACGTACTTTTTCATAATTATTCCCGCTACACAGTAATGCTGCGGACAATAGTAAGTCACCTGCAGGCTTCTTTTTCAGCAATGGCTGAGAATTCCATCTTCTTATAATGTGTCCCTTTTCGCATTTCTACAATTATAAAAAAAGATTTATATGATGTTATACAATACGATAATATTCAATGAATTATACTTCTTATTACACATTTTTACAAAAAATTGCCTTCCTTATGTTGATAACAATCAAATGATTGAAAACTTGCTATAAGAAAGAAATTGAAGAGCTGACATAATTCTGCACATACTTTGGTAAACAAAATAAAATATCAAAACTTCAAACTTATCAAAGCATAACAAAATACAGTGTAACTTCCAAATTCCGGAACTTCTGAAATCCGGAAACTTCCAAAAACCGAACAATTTTTTCGGTCCCCGTTTTTTCCCTTCTATTTTCTATTAATATAATACTTCTGAATTCCGGAACTTCTAAATTCTGAAACATGGACGATATTTTCGTAAAATTAGAGTCAAATCAATGCAATTTTACCTCCAAAAACCGGAAATATCCAAAGGTGTGTGAAATACATTGTAAATCGAGAATGTTTACCCTGCAGGAAGATTTAATCTCCCTATCGATTGTTTACTAATTAGCGGTGATCGTGTAATTTGACATGTGTTAAAATCACAAACTGTGAAATGGTATGTTTGTAGTGATGGGGTTAATCAAAGTAATTTACGTCGGTCAGTTAATTTGAAGTGTTTATTAGCGGATTAAATGACAATTAATTGGACAATGTATGCATCAAACGTCTTTAGGGATTTTATCGCATTTGATGTAATAATTAATTAACTAGCATCGGACAATATGTAAGTTTATGCAATTAACAACATTCCTACAAACTGATTTTGCAGGTAAGATAACAAGAGCTGTCACAGGAGACAGCGAAGCTCGACTAATAAAATACTGGACGCAGTAAGGAGGACAAAACTATGAAAGAAAAATCAATTATGTATAATTATGTATTAAGTTATAGTAAAAAAATAATATTTGTTAACATAAATTCCAAGATCAAGGGGAATAATTCTAGAAATAGTCATGCTAGAGTTATGGACCTTGTCACACAACATTTGTGTAATGATAAGAAATATAAAAATATTTGAAGTTTGAAGTAGATACCTTAAAAAGTAAAGAAGTTATTATATTTCTTAAAGAAAATCAAAGGGAGATAAATGTGTAAATATTGCTTCAAGAGTTATGAACATTGTCACATAAAATGTAATAATTATTGATGATAAGGAATAAGTATTTGAAGTTTGAGGTAGATACCTTTAAAAACTAGAACTATCGCTGAATGCGATTCATACCCCCACCAATGTCCTTGACAGAAGACCACTTTGAAAGGTGGTTAAGGGAATAACTTATGTGGCACAAATACATAAAAAGAAATTATCTCTGGTGAAAAAAAGATTAATTGTACAGGTAATAGTATAAATATATATTATCAAATCATGGTCGAAACAGTTACAAATAACCTTTCATTTTCCCAATATATTAAACATTTTATTTATAAGCCAATTTTTGACCTTCAAGTGTGGCCTTGACCTTAATCTGGCACAAGGGTAAGATGGGTTTTGCACATCACCCAGTTTGGTTGAACATTTGAGTAAAGTTTGAAGAAAATCCTTCCATTAGTATAGAATTTATAGAGTAGACACAATATATTGTCTAGTATTGGTTGTATGTAATTTGAAGACTTAAAAAGGGGCATAACTTTGTCAAAATGCAATACAGAGTAATGAAACTTGACCTGCATATCTTATTTGGCACACCTCATATATCTTTTAAGTTTCAAGCAAATGCCTGCGCTAGTTTCAGAATTATTCAAGTACATGTTAAAATTTAAGAACATTTTCTAAGTCAATTTTTGACTTTCAAGTTTGACCTTGACCTTTAGCCGGCACAAAGGTGACAAGGATTCTGCACATAACCTTGTTGAGGTGAAAATATGAGTAAAGTTTGAAGAAAATTCTTCCATTAGTATAGGATTTATAGAGCGGACACAACATATTGTCTAATATTTGATTGTATGTAAATTTGAAGACTTAAAAAGGGGCATAACTTTGTTAAAATGCAATACAGAGTTATGAAACTTGAACGAACAGCATATCGGAATTGTGACCCTTCAAAAATATTTTAAGTTTCAAGCAAATACCTTTTCTAGATTGAGAAATATTCAAATAAATGTTAAAATTTAAGAATATTTTCTAAGTCAATTTTTGACCTTCAAGTGTGACCTTGACCTTAAGCCAGCAAAACAGTGACATAAGTTCTGCACATCCCCTGGTTGAGATGAACATTTGAGCCAAGATTAAAGAAAATCTTTCAATTAGTGTAGGACTTACAGAGCGGACATGACATACTGTGTAATATTAGATTGTTTGATATTTGACCTTCAATTGTGACCTTGACCTTGAGCTGACACATGGGCAACATGGGTTCTGCACATCCCCTGGTTGAGGTGAATATTTGAGTCAAGTTTGAAGAAAATCTTTCAATTAGTGTAGGACTTACAGAGCGGACACAACATACTGTGTAATATTTAATTATTTGATATTTGACCTTCAATTGTGACCTTGACCTTGAGCTGACACATGGGCGACATGGGTTCTGCACATCCCCTTGTTGAGGTGAACATTTGAGCCAAGTTTGAAGAAAATTTTTCAAGTAGTGTAGGACTTACAGAGCGGACACGACATACTGTGTAATAATTAATTGTTAGATATTTGACCTTCAATTGTGACCTTGACCTTGAGCTGACACATGGGCGACATGGGTTCTGCACATCCCCTGCTTGAGGTGAACATTTGAGCCAAGTTTGAAGAAAATCTTTCAAGTAGTGTAGGACTTACAGAGCGGACACAACATACTGTGTAATATTTGATAGTGTTTGATATTTGACCTTCAATTGTGACCTTGACCTTGAGCTGACACATGGGCAACATGGGTTCTGCACATCCCCTTGTTGAGGTGAATATTTGAGCCAAGTTTGAAGAAAATCTTTCAATTAGTGTAGGACTTACAGAGCGGACACAACATACTGTGTAATATTTGATTGTTTGATATTTGACCTTCAATTGTGACCTTGAGCTGGCACATGGGCAATATGGGTTCTGCACATCCCCTGGTTGAGGTGAACATTTGAGCCAAGTTTGAAGAAAATCTTTCAATTAGTGTAGGACTTACAGAGCGGACATGACATACTGTGTAATATTAGATTGTTTGATATTTGACCTTCAATTGTGACCTTGACCTTGAGCTGACACATGGGCAACATGGGTTCTGCACATCCCCTGGTTGAGGTGAATATTTGAGTCAAGTTTGAAGAAAATCTTTCAAGTAGTGTAGGACTTACAGAGCGGACACAACATACTGTGTAATATTTAATTATTTGATATTTGACCTTCAATTGTGACCTTGACCTTGAGCTGACACATGGGCGACATGGGTTCTGCACATCCCCTTGTTGAGGTGAACATCTGAGCCAAGTTTGAAGAAAATTTTTCAAGTAGTGTAGGACTTACAGAGCGGACACGACATACTGTGTAATAATTAATTGTTAGATATTTGGCCTACAATTGTGACCTTGACCTTGAGCTGACACATAGGCGACATGGGTTGTGCACATCCCCTGGTTGAGGTGAACATTTGAGCCAAGTTTGAAGAAAATCTTTCAAGTAGTGTAGGACTTACAGAGCGGACACAACATACTGAGTAATATTTGATAGTGTTTGATATTTGACCTTCAATTGTGACCTTGACCTTGAGCTGACACATGGGCAATATGGGTTCTGCACATCCCCTTGTTGAGGTGAATATTTGAGCCAAGTTTGAAGAAAATCTTTCAATTAGTGTAGGACTTACAGAGCGGACACAACATACTGTGTAATATTTGATTGTTTGATATTTGACCTTCAATTGTGACCTTGAGCTGGCACATGGGCAACATGGGTTCTGCACATCCCCTGGTTGAGGTGAACATTTGAGCCAAGTTTGAAGAAAATCTTTCAAGTAGTGTAGGACTTACAGAGCGGACACGACATACTGTGTAATATTTGATAGTGTTTGATATTTGACCTTCAATTGTGACCTTGACCTTGAGCTGACACATGGGCAACATGGGTTCTGCACATCCCCTTGTTGAGGTGAATATTTGAGTCAAGTTTGAAGAAAATCTTTCAAGTAGTGTAGGACTTACAGAGCGGACACGACATACTGTGTAATATTTAATTGTTTGATATTTGACCTTCAATTGTGACCTTGACCTTGAGCTGACACATGGGCGACATGGGTTCTGCACATCCCCTGGTTGAGGTGAACATTTGAGCCAAGTTTGAAGAAAATCTTTCAAGTAGTGTAGGACTTACAGAGCGGACACGACATACTGTGTAATATTTCATAGTGTTTGATATTTGACCTTCAATTGTGACCTTGACCTTGAGCTGACACATAGGCAATATGGGTTCTGCACATCCTCTTATTGAGGTGAACATTTGAGCCAAGTTTGAAGAAAATCCTTCAATTGGTATAGGAGTTATAGAGCGGACACGAAAATGGAGACAGACCGACCGACCGACGGACGGACCGACGCGACAAAGCGAATCCATTATAGCCCCCCCCACATTTTGTGGTGGGGGTATAATAAAAAAGTTATAATAAAAAATAACATTTTTCTAGTAAAAAAATCTAAGTTTATGGGGAGATAATTCTTGCAATATTGGTGCTAGAGTTATGAACCTTGTCACATAAGATGTCGATGATGATAACGTAAATATATTTGAAGTATGAAGTTGATCCCTTTAGAAATAAATAAGTAACAGTAAAAAATAATATTTTTTTATGGAAAATTCTAAGTTCAAAGGTAGATAAATCTAAAAATATTGGTGCTAGAGTTATGAACCTTGTCACATAAGATGGGGATGATGATAACGTAAATATATTTGAAGTATGAGGTTGATCCCTTAAGAAATAAAGAAGAAACAGTAAGAAATAGTACTTTTTGAGGAAAATTCTAAGTTCAAGGGGAGATAAATCTGAAAATATTGGTGCTAGAGTTATGAACCTTGTCACATAAGATGTCGATGATGATAACGTAAATATATTTGAAGTATGAAGTTGATCCCTTTAGAAATAAATAAGTAACAGTAAAAAATAATATTTTTTTATGGAAAATTCTAAGTTCAAAGGTAGATAAATCTAAAAATATTGGTGCTAGAGTTATGAACCTTGTCACATAAGATGGGGATGATGATAACGTAAATATATTTGAAGTATGAGGTTGATCCCTTAAGAAATAAAGAAGAAACAGTAAGAAATAGTACTTTTTGAGGAAAATTCTAAGTTCAAGGGGAGATAAATCTGAAAATATTGGTGCTAGAGTTATGAACCTTGTCACATAAGATGGGGATGATGATAAGGTACATATATTTGAAGTATGAGGTTGATCCTTTAAGAAATAAAGAAGTAACAGTAAAAAATAGTATTTTTTAAGGAAAATTCTAAGTTCAAGGGGAGATTAACCTGAAAATATTGGTGCTAGAGTTATGAACCTTGTCACATAAGATGTGGTTGATGATAAGGAACATATATTTGAAGTTTGAAGTTGATACCTTAAGAAATGACAGTTATAGTGAAAAATATTTTACTGCACCAAAACTTTAATCTAAAATCTGGACGCGGACGCAGACGCCGGGGCGAGTAGGACAGCTCTCCATATACTTTGTATAGTCGAGCTAAAAATGTATTATTTTCAATTACATCTTTATCTTGATTAAAAGACAATTATATATGATATTACAGTAATGGCCACATCTTCCTTGACATTTAACATTTAGTGATATTAAGTGGCGTAGTCTTGTCCACATTATCATAAACCTCTGAATTCCGGAAACCTCTGAAATCCGAACTTTTTGACAAGTCCCATGGGTGTTCGGTTTTCGGAAGTTACACTGTAGTAGATTCTACTTACCACAGATCAAGAAGAGCCGATGCAACGTCGTCATTCGTCTTGACATTCAGGGCGTTTTTTGCATCTTTCCATCTACTGAAATTTCTCAATGAAATTCTTATTATATGTGACGATAACTCGTATTTCCTTTTGCACTCTTTTTTTCGTAGCTAACCGCTCCTCCTCTGACTTTCTCTTCATCCGTTCCTTTTTCAGTCGCTCTGCCATTTTTTAAACTGTTGATCCATGTGACATTATGATTGCCTTGGTGCATGCGCGAACTAATTCCCGTCTCTTCATTCACATGTTAAAGTTTGTATACAAACATTAGTGTTGCCGTGGGGTTTTCCTTTCAAATTCGTATTTCTGAACAGTTTTTGATCAGATTTAAAGCTATCCCGTCAAAAAGGTTTATGGAACTATATAAATGCTCATTCTTTGAGTTAATGGCAAAATATTTTTATATATTATTTAATGTTGCTTTAAATCACAGAATTGTTTATGGAACACGAACATCAGTGCAATTTTATTAAAATAAAACTATCCTTTGAAGTCAGAGTGTGACCTTGACCTTTGAACTTCAGACTTAGATGTAGCACATGAAAAATTGCCCAAAGTACAACACATTTATACATCATTAATTGAAATTCCTTCATAAATAACAGTTATGGACTGGACAAAAATCTGACGGAAGGGCAACAATATTGTGGTATTAACAGACCTGGGTAAGAGATAGGTTGAGTACCTAAGTATATGTTTGATAACCTTGATTGGCTGTAACCCCTGATGGAGAAGGGCCCATTGGGATTCTGGATGATTCCTCTAAAAGCAGCCATTGGTGCTGTAGGCAACATTGAACAGGTGATTAGACAGGCATGTCAGTGCATCTGGACCTGATATACATACATCTAAATAGGTAAGTCATTTACTTATATTATAATAAAGGTTCTACAGTAATTGGATGGAAGGATGGATGCCGCAAAACTATATGCCATCAGTCCAGAAGCGCGGTCTCTCTGGTTCCTAGTCCTATAAATATGACGTCGCTTTGAGATATTTTTGCTTCTGGGCAAAGCAACGTCATATCGAAATTGCTCAAAAACCCATAGCATGTTCCGCCAGAAAATCGGGCGGAACGAAAAACAATGAAGACAGCGTGTATTTACATAAGTTTTGACCTATTTATGAACAAAACTAAAAAATAAATAACTTTTGTCGAAATAATTAAACTGTCACATCCGAAAAATCATGATTAAATCCTCTCATGTACTTAAATTCCTTTTACAGCCGATAACCAAATGGCGGCCATAAAGTGCACAAAATCTGATTGGCTAATTTAAATGTAAGCGTTAATTTGAGTCAGAACAATCTAACGGAATATTTTTTTAACAAAATAATTTCCCATGCACCGTCAGTGTGTTCGAATATATTTTTCCGTTCAAAAATTTGGAATCTATCTGTAAAGCACCTTGCTTAACCAGTATGGCTGATAGACAAAAATAGATTGATGTTTATATTTTATTTTAAATTGATAAGTACATTGTTTGAGAGTTTTTGTGTATGGTCGAGCATGAAATTGAAAGAAAAGAAGATAAGCTTTTGAATAAAGCTTGAAAGGCAAGACAATAGACATTTTTTTTAATTTTTATGATGCTATGTGTTTTTGAGCAATAACTATTGGAAGTGGCTAGCCGTACGGGCCACTTCCATAACTATTATCCCTGTTTCTCGTATTCTCGGGGTTTCTCGTATTCTCGGGGAATCATTAAAACGGATGGAAGCGACGCTCGCGACTTCCGTCGATATCCGAAAACATGTCTATTTAGCAGAGCATTTTCATCTCCATTAAAAAAATAAAAGAAATACGACAAAAACAGATAAAAAACCAAAATAACCGTGGAAATAATCGTAAAATCCAGAGAATAAACATTAAATTTATCTATTTTTCCCCCAAAATAATCAATTTTCTAGTTTTTTCCATGAGTCAGAAACCTGTGGCGGGTCTCTGACGCAAGACGCTTCAAATGATGGTCTCATACATCTATTTATACAATACAGCTCAAAATATTTGTTCCACGAATAGATAGTATAAAAAAGATATGAACTCCAATTAAAAACCAATAATGAAACATTGTTTATCCTAAACACATTTCATTTTTGAGAACTGCAATGAAAAACAGTAGTATTCGTTGCTTAATGCTCATATAACTAATAAGTAACTAATAAATAAACGTTAACTTAATTATATATTAAAGAGATTATGTAAATAACAGCACTAAATTGAGTTAAAACTATTTTTGGAACAATCAAAAATCATTTGGTACCAAGAGGCCTCAATATGATCCTAAAAGTTTGATATGGCATGCCAAGCTGTTATTAAAACACAATCAAATTACAGATTTAAGCCATTTAACACTTTATTAAGTGTGGCACTAATGATTTGAACTGGTATGTAGAATAAAATCATCACATAGCGACCAGCCTTAACAACCAATCAAATTCCACGAGAATACGAGAAAGCACCTGCTTCACATAGAGGGTGAAGGTCAGTATATACAAGCAGAAATATCTTTTGTTTTGCTTACAGTTACGATCCTTCTTTCTTTATATTTTGTCAATAAGGTATTTCTCTGTGTATCAGGCTAAAAATACTGTAACATAATGTTTTATAAATATCATGCAACCAAGTTTAGTCCTTAACCCCCCGAGAATACGAGAAAACAGGATAGACGTCAGGCTTGACCAACATAAACTATAACAAGCCTGTAACGTCTAATATATTGGACTATCTGGTTCCAAGGTTTTTTTCAGGATATGCGCAGTGCATTGACTAGGGCAACTACTTAGTACCTGAAATATTATATGCCCAAGTGTGGAATACTTGCACCCTTATAATGCTATTTTAAACAGAGTAACCTCCCCTTATCCATTTAATTATTAAATTTTCATATGCAATTTTAATGCATTAAACTTGTATTCTGACAACTGACAATTATGGATTTGGTCTTTAAATTTGCTTCCAAATCTTAAAATGGAATGCAATTCTAGTGACAATAATAAATATACCTGAAAAGTTAACTTATTTTGATAGCTAAGTTTTTTCTGCATGCGTTCCCGGAGTCCACACTAGAGTTCTGTCCCTTGTTCGCGGTTTTAAAAAAAATAAATAAAAACTATGTAGAGTCAAAAAATTTTAAAGAGCAAAAAATATACTAAAACACGAATAGAAAAACACTTAAAATGATAACAATTTCGTTCGAATATTGTTTGTCAAATTTCACGTACACAACTTTTAACATGAAATGAAAGTCTCATTCGAATATTTGGATCAAGAATATTATTCAAGATGGCGTCCAAAAAGAAAAAGATTGTGACTAAAGATGATCTGAGGCGTCTAATGAAAGAGAAACAATCAGTTTCGAAATCAAGTTCTAAGAAAATTGACCATCCACTTGCTAAGTATGAATCTGTGGAAATGTATGGTGTGAAAACGTTCCTAACTTCCTATTTTACACATTTAACACATGTTTCCGCGACATTGGATTTTTTTTCCAAACAAAGCTTCCTAGATAATAATATGAAATTAGGCAAAGCCTATGAACGGGGAAGTCGTTAAAAAATTCCTTTCATTCTTTCCGTTTTAAAATTGTCATTCGGTATTACATGCACCGCTTCCGTTTTCACTCGGAACACTCGACGTTTATCATTGATCAGAAAAGTTGAGATTTGTTCCGTTATCGGAATACCCCGACTTTTATCATTGAGTTACATTGTAAATGGCGGCGCCCGACTAGAACTGACACTGAAAATTTCATTGATAGGTATAGAATTCTATATATATTTTTTAATTGTTTTTTATTTGATTTTCTTTTAAATATACACGTGTAGTCTATAGCAGGGCAAGCCAAAGCCCGGACCCGCTTCACGGGCCCGGTCTTTGACTTCCCCGTGTGAAAAAGACAAAGCCTCAAAGCGAGCTCCTTGTAGTATGAAAGAAAGCAAAGCCTATGAACGGGGAACTCGGTTAAAATAACCATTCACTTTTAGCTGGAATATTCCCTAAATTATGCAGTCGCCCATATAACTCGGTTCCTATGGGTACAGTTGTTTAGGCAGTAGCGGATTTTAAGGTATAGCGGATAACATGGTAGTAACAATGCTCCTTTCCATCAAATATGCCTTTTTCAAAATAATACAATTATACCATCAAAAAGAGTGATATAATTATTTCCCATCCGTCGCTAATTTTGTTTTATTTATTTCAAATTGCACAGCGAGTTTTTCTTACATAAATCAGAAGGCGGTAACTGGATGTTGTCACCGTCATACTGTTTATAAGCGGTTCCAAAAGAAATAAACAGAAAACTATTGATCAACACCAAGTAAAGTAATGAAATATTGACATGAATTGGTGTAAAAATCATTTGTTTATAATTTTTCAAAAGCTTTTACAGATATAACACATACTGACATTAAAAATTATTGAAAATGAATAGCAAGTGCTTCTGTCAGTAACGGATTTTACATTTGGGGGTGGTCTCAAAATTTACTTTATCTGTCAAAACGCCGTCAAAAGTGGATTAAAGGTACACTTTTAACAAAAAATATCCCAGTTTTAATGTTATAATATTATTTATTCTATCTTTTTATAATTTTAACTCAGTTGTATTGATACTTTGAATATATCATCATTATTAACTCTTCTTTCAACTAGATTATAAGATTAATAATAGCTTTAATGTTTATGTAAAACAGACCTTTTTTCATTGAAATTTGTCGTTTTATTTTTCATAAACAATACACATGCTCAGCTCAAGTTTATTGCAAAATTTTTGTAATTTATGTATTCAGAATACATAGTTTACCTTTTAATTCATCTATACAGATCTCCGGAAATAATGTTAAATTGCAACATGTTTTATAGTTATTATTGCTTGTATACTGTGACAGGGCTCACGCTGTCGGTCGCCATAGTCACCTTTTGCGATTATTTTATAAGATTGGCGATTATTTTTGCATTTTGGCTACAAAATCTGGCGATTATTTTTTACTTCCAACAGTGTTTATATAAGGTGTAAAAATCGATAAAGAATGCAGTAAACCCAATTAACACCAGCGGGGTGGATTTAATTGAGTGTCAACTTTTTATCGGTCACGTGCTGCTTACATATTGTGATAAAAATACATGCAAGATGTAAAATTGTATAAGTACTTTAAAGATATTGTCCAGCATTATAATAGCCATTAAGTAACTGTCAATTAGCCAAAAAGATAGTCTTAAAATTGAAAAACTGGATATTGACCAACCCAAAATTTACGGGAAATTTACCGTAAATTGCAGTAATGGCAAATTTTGAAATTTTTTTTTTGTTTTAAGCTTCTTGACTAAATTGCCAGTGGAAAACAATGATAAAATATTTAAAAAGTATTAACTTCCCAACAACTATTTGCACAACAACCAAAATTGTGAGTATTTCTTCAGAAAACAGGAAAAAAATCCGATTGTCACATGTTTTCGCGACACCGATAATTTTGATATTTATTTTAAGGTGAAAATAAGCTATGTTCTGTTTAAAAATCTTTACTATTATGGCAGAAAATTTGTATTACATTGGTGATGATGACATTTTTCAGTAAGTTATTCAGAAAAAAGGCTGCATTCTGTGAATGAGTTTGCAAGTGTTATTTTTATAGGCTTATATGACCTAGATCTACTCCAGTTCTGTGTGAAATGTGGAAATTGACAGGGGTTATAGCTGACAAAATTTGATTAGAACAAACAAAAGAAATTGTCTGATAATAGCATTATGTAAATTCATAATGAATCTTGAATATTATTGATATACAGTAATTATACTATATAACATTTTTATTCTGTTCTATAATAACAATTTAAGTTGTATGTGGGTCTATTTAAAAAAAAGGTAGTTATCAATATATACACAAATGTATTTGAGAATCCTTATAAAACTGAAAAAGGTTTATATGTAATGTTTATTTAATCAACTGCTTATGTTGTTAATCGCTAAATCGTGAATAGTCTGCTGAACTTTTGGCTATTATTATTTTATGTTAAAAATATTGGCTATTATTTTATTTGAGCCAGTGTGAGCCCTGCTGTGATGTTACAAAATAAATAAATAAATAAATAATTTTTGTAATAGTTTGAACATAACTATAGTTTACCATAGTTATTTCTTAAAAAAAATCTATAATATTATCCAAAGTTTTATATCATAATTTTTTTATCATTTTTTTATATTCATTTTAAAAATCCAATGATGGGTAAACCCAGTAAGAAGAAACCATCAAATGAAAGTCCATGCGTAAAAAGAGCCAGAGGTACAAAGAAGAAGTACTTCTCTACTTTTCTACTTATTTTTAGAAAGTATGTACCTTTTTTAAAAGATTATATGTTCCTATTGATACATATATAAAAATATCTAATAGTATGAAATTCAAAATTATAGCTGGTCACTGAACAACAGACTAGGTTAATTATTGACAGAGAATACACTAATATTTAAGACATTGATCCCCGAGTGTTGATGCCAGAATTAACATCATTTGACAAACATTTATACACTTTGATTACAGATAAACAAAAGACTAAATGTTGTCTGATATTGCAGGGCTACCTATTGGCCATGCACCAAAGATTTTAGCAAGTTGCTTTAGCAATGTACTTGACAGTGGAGGAAAAATCAATCTTTGTCACTGCAACAGGTGAACCAGTTTCCAGTTTTCCACATTGGACAATTTCAAATAAGAAAAGATGGTGGCATTGTTATACCTTGTTATTTAAACACTTATTGTTGATAATTTGGATGACACTGTTCATATGTTATCTGACACATTATGTCAGAAGGAAGTGTTATGAACATAAAACTCCAGAACTGATAACTATATGTGTGATATGATTCTCTTTGGTTGGTCTGTGATTTGTTTTAAGAGAAAATGCCAATCATTGATCTGAATAAACATTGTTGTAAAATCATGTGCCATAATTATATTATATATCCTTGGTTTACATGTAGAAAAATTTGAAAGATTACTATCAAATGTAACATTTTTCATTCCAGTAACTCCAGAACATGTTTCTGTGACATGTACTTTGTAAATACTAAATTTAGAACATTTTGAGATTCCCCCTCATTGACCTTCACCTACCTATCCCATACTCCCCAAAGCTATTCGCTACTAACTAAACTATATGCAGAACATAAACAAAGAGTACTACATGTTATGTCAAAGATACTGCTAAAAAATATTTTATTTTAAAAAGGGAAGTAGTTTGACTACTGAAAGGTATCAATTTGATTTTCTGAATATTATTATTAAAGACATAAGCAGCGCCGATCTCCTTAGCTATCCTCTACTGCCTAAACAACTGTATGACTAAATACCGAATTCATATGAATTCATATTCTTGGTAAAGTTTTTGGATGTAAGCTGATATCTCCATAACTACAGAAGGGATTGGATTGAAACTTTTGTGATTATATTACATGATTGGCACAAGTTCCATAACTCTGATTTGCTTTTTTGCATGATTTTGCCCCTTTTTCGAATTAGAAATTCTTGGTTAACCTTTTCTCACATACGGACTTGTTTTGATGGCTTTTTGCCCCCCTCCCCCTTTTTTGGAGGCCTCAAACAGTGAAAAAATGTCTTATTTAGGCCCCAAACACTGTTTTTTCGTTTAAGAAATGTTGTTAAAAAAGTGACCACTTTTTCAGCGCTGCCCCCCATCAAAATGGTACATCAGGAGGTTGCCAGAAGGGGGATATGCCCCCTTCTGTTTGGGTCGCCAAGAAAATGGCCTCAGGTCAATCTTAAGGTAACTAGTAACTAACGCTGAAAAGCCTTTTACTCAAATTAATTAATTGAGAAGTTGCAGCACTTTGAAATCAGTTTATGCCCCCTTCTGTTTGGGTCGCCAAGAAAATGGCCTCAGGTCAATCTTAAGGTAACTAGTAACTAACGCTGAAAAGCCTTTTACTCAAATTAATTAATTGAGAAGTTGCAGCACTTTGAAATCAGTTTTGATGGGGGGGAAAAAACAATGCAAAATAGTGATTTTTGGCAATTTTGAGACGTCCCTTCCTTGCCATGGTAACAGGAAATTTACGATGCTCAGTCTTAAATTTTCTGTTACCTTGGCAACGAGGGGACATCTCAAAATTGCCAAAAATCACTTTTTTGCCTTGATTTTTTTCCATCAAAATTTATTTCAAAGTGCTGCAACTTCTCAAGGGATTGAGATAGAGTCAAAGGCTTTTCAGCGTTGGATACACGTTACCGTAGGATCAACCTGGCGTCATTTTTAGCCTCTCACAAGTCCAAAATTTTCTTGGCGACATTTCTAAAATGAAAACATGTGTTTGGGGCCCAAATAGGACATTTTTTCACTATTTGAGGCCAAAAAAGAGGGGGGTGGGGGTCGAAAGTGCATTGTTTCGCGTATATATGAGGTAATGGGTTAACTCCTTTTTTCACATCACTTCCATTTGTACTTCCAGCTGACCTTTACAGAGACAGCAGCTATCTGATAACTTTATAGCTTTATAGATATCACTTAGATGTAACCCTTGCCAAACATAATTTTTTACAAGCATAAATGTCATTTTTGGGACAAGCATTTCTATATCCTTAAAATTCAAAAATATGCATAAAATTCCAGATCATTATACTAGAATAACAAAACTTCTGTTTCAAATAATTTGTTTTGAGTCATTTATATATGATGTCTTTTTTCTGTATGAACTTTGTAACAACATTTTATTCTGAGATAAAGAATAGAACATGACCTTTATATATATGTTGGTGCTAATTTATTCAGTGGTTTATAAAAAAGTAAATAGGAGAAGCATTTTATAAGCTTCTGTCTTCCATTCTAATCCTGTTTTGAAAGAATATTTATAATGCTTTGTATATATTGTAAACTGTAATATGTGTATTTATTCTTAGATATAAATAATGTTTAAACTGCTTAATGGAAAAGATAACCAATTTAGATTTTGATCATTATTTTTCTTACTCACCTCCTCATATTATCTTGTACTCCAATCAACATTAATTACAAACACTGGCACCAAGCATAAGGTGGCATTACAGGTGCCATTGGTTCAGTGCCTGCAGTCAGTGACCATGATTGACAGGTATATCCAGTAAC